CGTCCTGGACCATTCTCAAGTCGATTGTGTGCATGCAATCACACAATCGACTTGAGAATGGTCCAGGACGGACCGAAACGTCGTCGTCTCTTCAATTTCTAGTGTGTGGTCTGGTCATCGAGAATACTCTCCTTGTGGAAAATTTTCACATCAATATATAAATAATACAATAGCCATAAAATGCTGTTGATTTGTATTAGTTCAAGGTGCATTTAAATATCTTAGTTAGCCCTGAAATAGACAACAAAAACGTGTTTAGTTAATCTATATAAATGAAAATGGAAATGTTCGTTTGCTTAATATCTCTACTCACTGAAAGTTCTTCACCGATTAGTTTGAAATTTTCACACAACATTCCAATCGCATCCGAGCGTGTTTTTATATACATATTATATAGATGTCACATCTGTGACGGACAAAAACATGCTTTTTTTTTAAACTATGTTTTTCATGTTATTTTCAGGTGAGGGGAAAATTTTCGAAATCTCTTTACCGATTGCTTTTAAATTTTGACACAACGTTGCATTCGAATAGGCGTATGTTTTTATATACCTACTATATACATGCCTTACCTGTGAGAGGAAAAAGCATGTTTTTTTGAAAAACAGCACCATCTGTTGGTCGTAAGAGCAACGCACGTTGTAATCTCCGAAAGTTCTTCACTGATTGCTTTGAAATTTTGACACAACGTTCCATTCAAATACGCGCATGTTTTTGTATACATACTATATAGATTCCACACCTGTGACAGGTAAAAACATGCTTTTTTAAAAAAAAAAAACACCATATTTTACACGTAAAAGCAACACACACTACACTAAATATGTTATGATTCCATTTCAATGTTTCTGATTGCATTCATAAAGTGAATTTTCATAGATTTCGATTTATTTTCACTTTGATTTAATTATTTTATGTGACATTGCATTGGAATTGAGCTGTGTTGTTTACCATATCATTCATTTCATGAGTATAGTTTATTTTTTTTTATTTTTTTCATTTCATTTTTTTCACTGTTCATTTTATTTTTCAATGATGGGAACATCAGATCATTTGATGATCCCAATTTTCTGATAGGAACATCAGATCATTTTGGAATGCATTGGACGAGGGAGTTGGGAATGGTGGGGAGGACGAGGGGATGGTAGTGGGGGATGACAAGGGAGCACGAGGGGACAGGGGGACGGGGTAATGGTGGGAAGGACGAGTGGATGAAGAAGTTGGGGATGGTTGGGACGAGGGGACGGGGGAATGGAGAATGGTGGGGACGACACGGGGACAGGGGAGTGGGGGATGGTAGGGAGAAAGAAGGGATGTAGTTGGGGATGGTGGGGACGAAGGGACGAGGGAATTGGGGATGGTGGGGACGAAAGAACGGGAAGTTGGGGATGATATATATATATATATATATATATATATATATATATATATATATATATATATATATATATATATATATATATATATATATATATATATATATATATATATATATATATATATATAAATGTCGTACCTAGTAGCCAGAACGCACTTCTCAGCATACTATGCAAGGCCCGATTTGCCTAATAAGCCAAGTTTTCGTGAATTAATGTTTTTTCGACTACCTAACCTACCTAACCTAACCTAACCTAACTTTTTCGGCTACCTAACCTAACCTATAGAGATAGGTTAGGTTTGGTCATATATCTACGTTAATTTTAACTCCAGTAAAATTAAATTGACCTCATACATAATGAAATGGGTAGCTTTATCATTTCATAAGAAAAAAATTAGAGAAAATATATTAATTCAGGAAAACTTGGCTTATTAGGCAAATCGGGCCTTGCATAGTAGGCTGAGAAGTGCGTTCTGGCTACTAGGTACGACATTTATATATATATATATATATATATATATATATATATATATATATATATATATGTCGTACCTAATAGCCAGAACGCACTTCTCAGCCTACTATTCAAGGCCCGATTTGCCTAATAAGCCAAGTTTTCATGAATTAATGTTTTTTCGTCTACCTAACCTACCTAACCTAACCTAACCTAGCTTTTTTTGGCTACCTAACCTAACCTTACCTATAAATATAGGTTAGGTTAGGTTAGGTAGGGTTGGTTAGGTTCGGGCACATATCTACGTTAATTTTAACTCCAATAAAAAAAAATTGACCTCATACATAGAGAAAATGGTTGCTTTATCATTTCATAAGAAAAAAATTATAGTAAATATATTAATTCAGGAAAACTTGGCTTATTAGGCAAATCGGGCCTTGAATAGTAGGCTGAGAAGTGAGTTCTGGCTACTAGGTACGACATATATATATATATATATATATGTCGTACCTAGTAGCCAGAACTCACTTCTCAGCCTACTATTCAAGGCCCGATTTGCCTAATAAGCCAAGTTTTCCTGAATTAATATATTTACTATAATTTTTTTCTTATGAAATGATAAAGCAACCCCTTTTCTCTATGTATGAGGTCAATTTTTTTTATTGGAGTTAAAATTAACGTAGATATATGACCGAACCTAACCAACCCTACCTAACCTAACCTAACCTATATTTATAGGTAAGGTTAGGTTAGGTAGCCAAAAAAAGCTAGGTTAGGTTAGGTTAGGTAGGTTAGGTAGACGAAAAAACATTAATTCATGAAAACTTGGCTTATTAGGCAAATCGGGCCTTGAATAGTAGGCTGAGAAGTGCGTTCTGGCTATTAGGTACGACATATATATATATATATATATATATATATATATATATATATATATATATGTCGTACCTAGTAGCCAGAACGCACTTCTCAGGCTACTATGCAAGGCCTGATTTGCCTAATAAGCCAAGTTTTCCTGAATTAATATATTTTCTCTAATTTTTTTCTTATGAAATGATAAAGCTACCCATTTCATTATGTATGAGGTCAATTTTTTTTTATTGGAGTTAAAATTAACGTAGATATATGACCGAACCTAACCAACCCTACCTAACCTAACCTAACCTATCTTTATAGGTTAGGTTAGGTTAGGTAGCCGAAAAAGTTGGGTTAGGTTAGGTTAGGTAGGTTAGGTAGTCGAAAAACAATTAATTCATGAAAACTTGGCTTATTAGGCAAATTGGGCCATGCATAGTAGGCATAGAAGTGCGTTCTGGCTACTAGGTACGACATATATATATATATATATATATATATATATATATATATATATATATATATATATATATATATATATATATATATATATATTGTACCTAGTAGCCAGAATGCACTTCTCGGTCTACTGTGCAAGGCACGATTTACCTAATAGGCCAAGTGATTTTTTATTTTCAAAATATTGTTTCCAATTAGTTTATATGAATTATTATTATTATGTTATGTTAAGAACATAAATTATTGACTAAGTTTTATAATTATTAGTTATTGACTCCTGGGGGTCGTATTCCAGGGACCATAGGATTAAGGAGTTGCCCAAAATGCCATGCGTATTAGTGACTGTACAAGAATATAACAACTCTTGTATATATCTCAAAAATAAAAATAAAGTTATGGATGGTCATGTGTGATATCTGTAACAAGTGAATTGCCCAGGGAAAGGTTTTCCGCCCAGGAAAACCTTTTGTAATTTTGGATTGCCAGACACGATGGTGGTGTCCGATAATGCTTCATATTTTGTGTCTGGGAAAATAAGAGGATTTTGCAGGAATAATGGTAAATAACATGTAAAAGCAGCTCTATATAATCCTTCTTCAAAAGGTCTGGCTGATAGAGCAGCGAGATCCTTAAGGAAGAGTCACAGAGGTTATGCAAGGTTCTATTAACACAAGGATTTGTAAATTTTTTATTATCAAAGAAAAACTAAACATGCTGCCACTGGTAAATTAACTTCTGAATTACTGATTAAAAGGCATTTCAATCAAAAGGCTCTACATTACATTTACGTCCATGTACATTTCAAAATGAACAAGGATGCAGCAAAAACAGATTCGGGTCAAGGAAAATCTGTAACTAACCTTGTCAATCAGTTGTGACAGGAAAATGAAGTTGAGTCAGATGAAGTATAAGCAAGAAATTTTGGAACTGGTATGCCTTAGGTGGAAGGGAAGGTTGTTGAAGTCGTGGGCCACAGGAATATCTAAGTGCAAGTTCAGAGTTTTGGGAATGTTATTTAGAAAAGACATGCAAACCAAATGCAAGAGGTAGGAGGATAACACTAACTATACGGAATCAGACGTCAGTAATTAAGAGTAAGGTTCCTCATGATGTAAAGAGTCTTGATGACCAAACCTCACATGAGAAAAGGAAGAAACGACTATGTTACGGTCCCTCCTGGACTATTATGAAGTCATGTGAACCAAATGACTTGATAATGCCCAGGGCTCTACTAGAAACAAATATTTTTTATAATATTCATAGAGTGTGACTTAACCAAAGCAGAAATGCTCTGCAAATCAAGATACCTAACCTGTGGAATATCCTCTCTAATAATAGTAATGACTCTACATCTCGTAACCAGTTTAAAAAGGGAAACTAAGAACTACCTAATTAATTTTATGCCACCAACTTTACTCGACCTCCTCTCATCCTACATTTCAGTTTGTGTCCTGCTGTTATTGTAAACATTATTTACTAAATTTGCACAATTACTAAACTGCCATTTCTATATATAATTAAAAATTCTATATCATCTGTTAAATCTCCTCTACAATTATAAAATTAATTGTTATTTCCAATTATCAAATAAACTTTTTAGGTAATTTTCTCATTTTTTACAATTCAAAAAGTTATTTTATTTAGTATTAAGTATAGCCCCATTAACCTCATATATTATTCTTCTAATTATTTTTACGTCATGTCCAAAATGCTCTGATTATTAGTGGTTTTATATAATATTGTACTTTTCATACCTATGTTTTTCCACAATTCATGTATCACTTTCATAAATAAATGTACACTTGCATAAATTAATTATTATTATTATTATTATTATATTATCATAATTCTTACCTCTTTGCAGCTGGGGCAAGGTAAAGGTGAAGTGCATCTTTTCATACACACAGTACAGTACATTAGTAACTTTTCTGAATAAAGTGTGCTGCAGTACCCATCTTCAACACTTACAATATCACCTGAAAATGTAAAATTTATTTAAGCTAATAGATGCACTTGGAACCAGAATGAGCTAATGTACCAGATCTGCAACACATTTTGAATCTAGCCTGTAAGGTGATATTTTTCTCAGTATTTTACATAGCTATATTTTATTTAATAAAAATTAGCAACTTTTAAAGATAATTAAGTAAATATGCACAATAACTATTCTTACAAATAAAGGGAACTATATGTGACTAGAGGTTCCTTGTCAAACCTAACGTAATCAATTTCAGTAAGTATTTGTAACAGAAAAATATTTGTTCCTATATTACAAAATATTAAATAATTACAAATTAATATTTGTAATTTGTAATTGGCTAAACTCTTGATGATGACCTTTAAGCCAAACTCCTATTTATATCCACCCAAACTCGTTTATATATGTCTAACCTAAACATGAAACAACCCAATTGTCCCATATCTAACCCAGTAATTTGCAGTATAAATGATCTTCCTTATTTTCAACCAAATATTTACCTCCAAAATGAGTTTAAAAACTGTACTTTTCTCAACCAGTTTAAAAGAGATAATAAGAAATACCTAATTAACATTATGTAACCAATTCTTCACACATATCCTCACCCAACATGTCACTCTGTGTTATGTTGTTATTGTGAACATTAAATACTATATCTGTATTACTGTCATAAATAAAATCTCCACATTTTAGTCTATGCCTTTCATCACTTAATATCACTTAAAAAATTTAAATCACTTGCAAAAGTTCTTTATGGGGCCGGTGACTGAGTAGTATCTTTCCAAATATGAAATATATTGAAAAAATTTAAACAAATTTCGTTTCCCATTATTTGGCATCAGCGTTGTGAAATTTTCATCCTTATATGTTAAGAATTCGATTTTTTTTTTATTTTTTAATAATAAATGTGTGCAAGACAGGTTGCAACCGGTATTGATAATAACGATAAAACCTCCTATTTACTAGAAATCTGGGATAAAGAAATCCGACGCACAGAAAAGATAAGTAGTAGTTAGGAAGGTCCACAAAGTGGATATGCTCCTGGTGCCACCTGGAAGGCCAGATTTCACTCGTAATAATGAGTTAGTATGTTGTTATGTTGTATTTATTATACATCATATAAATACATTGGCCAATGGCAATATTTCTTATGTTCCTATGTACGGAAAGCTGACCAACCACTTTTTATGTTTTTTTTTTCTTTTCTTTTCTTTCTCGTTTTTTCTCTCCTTTATATTTATGCGGATTTTGTTGTAACTTCTACATCTTGGAGAATGCATATCCGGCACTAAGCATATGAAGTTGGAACGAAATTGGTCAACATATTAATCAGCCATAGGTGGCAGAAGTTGTGTCTTTTATTTTTGGGGGGCGGATTTATTTACAGATTTCAAACTCTATTACCTTCGTCTGTTTAGATTGTATTGCTGAATGAAGACCAGATGAGGGCCTTATCATTTATATATGGGCAATAAAGTTACTGGAATATTTGTTTGTTACAGATCAACCAGGCTGTGACTCATATGTAAGGCTGTGAACAGTTACATCCAATAGCCTTATTGACCAGTCCAACGACGAGGAGGCCTGGTCGCGGACCGGGCGTTAAGCCCCGAAACCATCTTCAGGTAACATCAAAATTATTCCTAACGTATCCCTATATTTTTTTTTGAGGGGGAGGATATTTTTTTTTTTACTTCATTTCAATATATATTGACCTACAACTTTCACATATTCTAGTAAGAATGCCAAGCAATGTTTATTAAAACTTACAAGATATGTTATCAATACGAAGTACTATATTCAGTGTCGAGAACTTTAAGTTAATTTTTTTATATAAACAGAATTTTCAACTTTGAGACCTCTCAAAAAATTCAGTGTTAGACCGATTCTCACCATTTTTACATATTATGTGCAAAGTTTCCTTGATGTCGTTTAGTCATAAAGTCATAACGTTTGGAGTTATACATTTTTTGCATCTAAATTTTGCACACATTTGGAGGGCCTCATTGAAAAAATATTTTAGAGCAAAACTATACTCTCAAACAATATTTTTTAACAAGGAATATGAACCTTATATGTCATTCTGAGACCATAATGAATAAAATAACAATTGATGACATTTTAAGTATTTTTGAGACTAATTTGAAATTGCGAATTTAATTTTTTTTATGTTTATTTTTTTAACTTTTTTCTGTTCATGGTATGATGGTGATTCATTAGGACACGTTGGAGCATTTACCATGAAGATATTACTCACAAAACATTTGAGTGCTTGAGGAAGTTTAGGGCCCACAAGCACCGGGCCCCTTAACAATTATATTGTTATCAGCACAAAGTGGCAGTCATATCCTTAAAGTGTTCAAGTCTTGTTAGAGCAACACTCGAATGATATACCTTTCAAATAGTAGGCCGCTTAAGTGACATTCGCATAGCACTTATATAATAATTATTTTATTAGTGTAATGTGAGGGTTAATAAGAGGCCTACTGTTTGATTGGCATTCACACACTTGGTGATCTTGCAACCCATCTTCAGGTCCCAAAGTACCTTTTTTTAGTTATCGATACAAGAGTTCTTACATTCTTGTAAATCCACTAGCATGCATAGCATTTCGGGAAGGTCCTTATCTTAATTTTCCCTGTAATATAACCCCCGTAATCATTGAATAGCTAGGTACCCATTCACTGCTGGATGAACAGAGGCGTACTGTTAATGATTGATGCCTAGTCAATCCTTCCCAGCCAGGATGCTAATCCAGACCAAACCATGAGGCCCAGACAAATTGCTGGCGAAGTGCGGGGTGAGTGTGTTACCACTGTGCCACTGGGACTGCATGGGATATTTAGACCAATTAATTTTTTCTTCTGCCACAGACGTGGCCACACATTTACAATGCTAACCTGCATATATACATTTTCTTCTGTCCTCCATGGACAGGGTGAGAGATCTGTTAAACATATAGTTAAGAGATTTATTAAATAATCTACCACAGAAGGTGATTGTAGGGCTTTTATAATGCTAATCTAACCAACAGGCATAAATACATAAATACACAGATTTCCGTCTGCGCTACATAAAGTTTTCGATGTGTCTTTTACAGTGTCATTAATGTGCATTTACAAAGGTGAAATGCAATTCTGATCAGTGTCCACATATCTTTTATACATATATTTGTGTTTATCCTTCACACACACACACACACACACACACACACACACACACACACACACACACACACACACACACACACACACACACACACACACACACACACACACACACACACACACACACACACACACACACACACACACACACACACACACACACACACACACACACACACACACACACACACACACACACACACACACACACACACACACACACACACACACACACACACACACACATATGGGGGTCTCGTAGCCTGAATGGGGGACTCGTAGCCTGGTGGATAGCGCGCAGGACTCGTTATTCTGCGGCGCGGGTTCGATTCCCGCACGAGGCAGAAACAAATGGGCAAAGTTTCTTTCACTCTGAATGCCCCTGTTACCTAGCAGTAAATAGCTACCTGGGAGTTAGTCAACTGTCACGGGCTGCTTCCTGGGGTGTGTGTGTGTGTGTGTGTGTGTGGTGTGGGGGAAAAAAAGTAGTTAGTAAACAGTTGATTGACAGTTGAGAGGCGGGCCGAAAGAGCAAACCTCAACCCCCGCAAAACACAATTAGGTGAACAGATGGAAGAAGTACTAAGGAATGCTAGAAAATTACAGTGATGAGGATGGGAAAGTGTGGTCGTTAAGACGAGATCTTTCAAAAGAAGATAGGGAGAAGATGAAACTGAACCTCGCCGAGGCAAAGCGTTTAAATGAGAGCAGGAATGAAGAAGAAATCAATTTTTGTTCTACAAAGTGATAGGGGTAGGCAGACCAGTAAAGTGGTACATAAAGGCAAACCAACAAAATCATTAGAGAGAGGGGGAGTGAAAAATTAGAAGAGGGGGAACAAATTCCTGAAGATTGCATACACCAACATAGATGGAGTAAGATCGAAGATACTGGAGTTAAGTGATTTAATACAGCTGCAGACACCAGACATTGTTGCACTCACGGAGACAAAACTTGAAGATGTTATTTTAAATGAGGTCATATTCCCAAGGGGCTACTCAATTTGGAGACGGGACAGAAAAATTAGGAAAGGCGGTGGAGTTGCTGTGCTGTTGAAAGAACACCTAAAGGTGAACGAAATAATGACTGCCAATCCACAAGAAGTTGGCATAATAGCACTAGAGATCTGCCATGAGGATGATAAACTAATGATCATAAATGCATGTAGTCCACCGCCAAGCAGCACATGGTCAAAGGAGGAGCTAGATAGTAAAAGAGAAGGTCTTATAACAATAATGAGAGAGATCATAGCGAGAGCGGATAAGGATAATTCACGGCTGTTGATAGTCGGCAACTTCAACTTGAAATCCATAGACTGGGAAGCATATGAAGCTAAAACAGAAAATTTTTGGACCTGTAAATTTGTAGGCCTCATCCTGGAAACATTCTTTTATCAACATGTTAAACAAGCTACGAGGATGAGGGAAGGGGACGTTCCCTCCATGCTAGATTTTATATTTACTAGGAAAGAGGAAGAAATATTTGACATTCAGTACCTTCCTCCCTTGGGTAAAAGTGACCATGTCTTTTTGGGAATAAAGTATACAATGCATTATAATCTGGAAGAAAATATGAAGGTTTATATACCCCGAAGGTTTGAAAATATGAAGGTTTTTATACCCCGAAACGCTGCGCATACTAGTGCCTTTACAAGATTGTAATTACCATATTATGTATCCTCACATTCCCAATGTACCTTCTTGTATATGCATAAATAAATAAATAAATAAATAAGGTCGATGCAATTGAAAAACCTGACTTTAGGAGAGGACATTATGGCAACCTTGAACAAATTTTAGTGAGTATAATTGGACAGACTTGTTGCTAGGCA